TCTTTTTGTTTCCTCGGTAAGTCCAGGGCTGTAAGAATTCTTCAAAGTTACTGGCTACGCGCACTAAAGATAGTGAAGTGAAGTGTAGTGCACCGTAGCCAATTGGTTGCAGCCGCCTTTTTTTTTGAAGGACAGCAGCGGCCAAAAAAAATTACTACGGTGCAAAAACTAGGTTATTGCTAGTAGAATGACTACTATCACTCAGAACATTAAGCATAGTGGTACTACTAGTAGTACTAGTACTACTACTACTAGTAGTAGTAGTATAAAATCCAACAAGAAGCAAAACCATTGAATTCAAGCTGTAGACTACTACTGGTTCCTACCTAGTAGTACTACACACAAGGCCTACAGAAGTGCTGTTGTTATCATTTGGAGAGTTAGTAAGTCTTCTTGTTTGGTTATTCAAAACTACAATTTGAAAAAAATATCTTGCTACTAGTACTAAGAAACTCTCCACCCATTAGAAGTGTGACGTACTGTACCAATCAACCATCTTGCCCAGCAGCAGCAGTACTAGTAGTACTATCCCAATTGACCATGATCTTGCTCAGCAGTCAGATTGTCCCATCACCAGCAGCACCAGCACTACTACAACAAGAAGAAGCAGCAAAACAACTAGCTACTAGTACTAGTACTAGTACTAGTAGTACTATTGATCTATGATGAGGTCAATATGGCTGAACAGGGAAGAACCAACAAAAGTATTGTTGCCAAACATGTTTGTTAGACTTGATGGTCAGCATTGCCATTCTTACAGTATTTGGGGAGCACTTGATTTTCCCACTCTGGAAGCAGAGCAGAGGTGCTGATACAGTTTGTGAATTATGGTAGTGTTTCTGAAAATGCTAGGCAAGAATTAAGATAGAAGTAGTACTAAGAAGTATGAGGTTGAAGTATCTATTTTCATATTCTTTTTGGAGAAGTGGTTTGCCAAATGTAGTACTACAAGTACTGACAGTCATATGTATTACTACTACTACTAGTATGACATGTATTTAGTATAGAATACATAATGTGCACAAGTCTTCCTTCTACATCTCAAGTAGAATGATGATCAATTATACATATATTCAGTACAAGTAGTAGTATAAAGTCTGCAAAATCCCTTGCAGTTCTAAGAGTTTTACTGAGACTCATCAAAAAGATACAAATAATAATAGTCTTTTTCATTTAAATTATAGACTGTTCTTCAAATGATGATGCTCGCCAGTGTACTGCACTTCTAGTACACAATTGCATTGAAGAACAGATAAATGGATGTGTGCTCAGAACACAGGATTGCGATATTGTGTACTGCTGTTGCAATCCTTGATAAAGGGATAGCTGTCAGTTGATTCTTTGCGGTCTGCTGATAAAAAAGGTGTGCATCGATGCAAAAGAATTTTTTTTATTAAACGTCTGAGTAATTTATCACATGAAATCTTATTTTTATCTTTTGAATAATGCATGCATCGCGTCTGCAAGAAATCCGATTTTTCGATTTCCAATTGTTTAACCGTAAAGCATTGACTCGTCGTGTTGTATTGCATGCAACGAAACACAATACAACGGATTCGGCTAGGTATATTTTACGTTCTACTCGACAACTGAGGACGGTTTCGTAGGATTCAAAACATTGACCTCAATTTCCGTGGCACCACTGTACCGCTGTTGCTTTTGGTCTTTTTCCAGCAACTCAGCAATTTCCGCAACTTCTTTTTCGATCGATTCCTTCTCCTCCACCAGACCAGCGATTTTATGCTGTAGAGCAGCACGTTCGGTGTCCCACTGTTTTTTTTGTTCGGAAAGCTTAGTTAGCAGAGCGCTATTGGAATCTTCCGCGCTACTCCGAAGTTCCTTCACCAGGGCTTCCAGGGTGCGCACGCGTTCGTCTTGTTCGTTTCCTTGCGATTCTTGTCCGGGGGGCTCCTGGCGATTGTCCCCTGTCGAAGTGCCCGAGCCACTCACAATTGCTTCAACGGCCTTGTCTGCCAATGAGGAAAAACGGTCCTCGAAGCTCAGAAGATCCTTCGTCAAACGGGCGATTTCCTGGCGGGATGTTTCGATGGTCGCCGTTTGGAGACGATCTCGGCTAGTCAGGGTCTCGACTTCTTGGGAAAGCGACTGCTCCTTCATCTGGAGCTGCTCGAGCTTCGACTCCAACTCGGAAGCTTTATCCTTCCAAAGATCGCGTTCCTTGATTGTGGCACACATTTGGTCCATGGCACTGCCCTCGGCTTCTGAAAGCTGGCACTCGATCGACACCGACTTGAGCTTCAGGCGGTCGTCCATCTCCTCCATCTTCTTAGTCTTTTCTTCTAAGAGCCGTTTTGTTTCGTCCAGCTCGAGTTGGACGTTGGCCTCGTCCGCAGTTTTCAACAGGACAAGGGCTGTCAGGGACTCCTTTTCGGTTTTTAGGGTCTCGTACGCTTCGAGCAAATGGCTGTGCGGAGTTGCCGTTCGTGGTGATGCTGGTGGTGTCAGACATACTTCTACGGCTGGCTCTGGTTCTGGCGCTGAATCTACTGTCATGTTTTTTCACCTATCGGGTTTGATTTGATTCGATTCGGTTCCGTGCGGTATTCTGTACCAAACAATTTTACTGCCTTGATTGACTTTTTGATTCGAAATCAATGTGCAAGGCGTTGGCATATGGTCTTTCAATGTACCTGAACGAGATTAAGTGCTGTTTTACTTGTAGTTGGTAATCTAAACCAGGCTACCTTGTAGACACAGGTGTAAGCACTATTACATCACGATGATTCCAATAGATCTTTGAACTCATCGATTCTCTCGAGACCTATCTTTAGTACGTGTACCCGTACAACAGGCAGTAGAAACATGAGTACATAATCAAGCACGTAGGGTCAAGAAGATCACCGTGTCGTTCCGTAAGGATACGCCACTCATAATCATACATATAATTTCAAATTCAGTCAGTACGATCACAGAACACAAGAATACTTAGATGATGTCTTCAGTTGCGACCTGTACAACACGCGCGCTTACTGACGGATCCGATCGCTAGTGTTGCCTAACGGCAGAATCGAAACAGTAATTTGTTTCCGGATGCAGCTCAACGCACGATCAGACCGTTAGGTAAAACGTCACACTAAAAACACAAAACACCACACTTCGTTTACCCGTACATTGTAAGCAGAAGAGTAAAAATGCGTTAACCGTACGGTATACCCTACAACGTCCTACACGGCAAAAAGGCATTCTACTCAAATCTACTCAAACACCGAAAATTATTACTAGTGGCATTGCGGTTAATTTTGGTTAATTTTGAAGCTCAGTATTAGTACTGATCCTACATAGATCTAATTGTATTTGGAACTCCTCTTTCAACCCCAAACAGTTCAATAAGCTAACCACAACAACTCTGGAAAGGCCTCTAACAATGAAAACAACCCTGCTTTGGGGATATGCTTGTTGGTCATAGTACTAGTGTTGGTGAGAAGAGTGCTGTGTGTCATTGTTACATGATTACTAGTACTACTAGTACTAGTAGAGCCAAGCATGGGGGGGGCAGTTCTCTGTTAACAGCACGCATGGCCAAAATTGGCCAGTGGAGACCAGCCACTGATTAGAAAATAGGCCAGAACAACTCTATCAAAAAACAACTCGTCGTCTCTAGACCACCAGCAGACTAATCGTCCAGTCCAAGTTGATAGTATAATTACTATGTACTAGTAGCTATACTAGTAGATCCATGATGTCATTGGGAACCCAAATGATGCTCTAGTGGCTTAGAACTAGCCAGCCAAAGTTATAGGTACTAGTGAGGGGTCAAAAATTGTTAATTCTTCTTGCTTGGTGTAATTTTATACAGATTAAACTCTTACTGGTGGTAAGATTTTGAGGAATCATCTGTAGTAGTACTGATGTAGAGGTAGTAGGAGTACTACTACTACTACTACTACTATAACAAATACTAGTAGTCTCTAGTACTGTAATAATGAAAGAACCTACTTTTGAACGGAAGCTTCATTGAGCAAAATGATGATGCTTTCAAGCATCCTAAAAGGTGTACCCGGCACGTATTGTACGGTGTACAGTAGGTACGGCAATTGCGGCACTGTATGTGTAGTACGTACCGTATGGCGCACCTTGCCTCGTGATCGTATTTCTAGGACTCTCTAATTGGAACCGTGTGACAGATCTCTCATTACCGGTGCGAAACCGCATTGTCACTTCGTGTTTATTACGAACCTCGACCGTACAAGTACTTTTTTATGACGGCTATGACTGGCTTTTGACGAGAATCCGAGTCGCGTTTTGGTTGTGAACTTTTCAGAATTGACGTGAGGAAGGGACTCTATCCCTTATCCTAAAGTACTTGCAATTGATTACGAATGAATGAATTCGACAATCAATCCTACATTGACCTAGCCAACTCCTATAGGAACAGGATATGCGTCATGAACCTGAGTGAAACTTACGACTCCTCAATAGCTTTGATTGGCGTATCTCCGTCTACTTGAAAAAATAGCAGCGGAGTTCGGTGTAGTAGCTGGAGCGTCGTCAGGTCGTCTCGCCTTGCTCCTGCCAATCGTGTGATTTCTCCCGGAACGAACCTTCCGACATGTCGAAAAAGCTTGTGTGCTGGAGCCGTGCACCTAAGAGTGCCTACGACGAAGTTCCTTCCAAAGAAAAATCMCCCCGGTGCGGCTCCCGCCGCACCAAGAAAGAAACGAGAAAGCAAAGCATGGGCGTTTCGGAAAGGGTTCCATCGAAGCGAGACAGCGACACCATTGCCGTCGACTGGTGGCGCGACCATAAAAAAGAGGGACAGATTGTCGGCAACGAAAATGTCGTAAACCAAAGAGAGACATATGGTTCCACCCAGATAGCACCCTTCCAAAAGGGAGGAGTCGGACATACGAATGGCACCGGGCTAGACGAGCTTTCACGGTCGCCCGATCTATCATCGTTTATGAATAGTTTGGAACACGGTCTGAACGTCCCACTTGAGGCAACGGGTGATGTATCGCAACCACAGAACGGGATGGTTCTCTACCCTAGCCTCCTGCCAAAGGATGACAGACATGACAACATCCGGGAGAACAATCCATCTCTGGGGATCTTCAAAACGAAAGGAAGGTCGGATTTAGAAGGTGTCAACATGGAAATATTTCATCCACAAGTAATAAAACCGACTTCAAAACAACAAGAGCAACAGCACCAATTGCATTCGAAGTTTCACTCGCAGTCGCAATCGCAGTCATACCAACAAATACAGAGCCCGAACCATGGGAAAAGGGGTCCTCCGCCTCGGATAGGAATAAAGACGATGATGCAATACGTTGATGAAAGAGCAGAAGCAAAGGAGGTATGGCGCGAAAACGTCTCTAATATTCCCCAAAGCCAAACGCACGAGGATCAATCCAGGATAACAATAACGCAGAACAATCCAGGTGGCAATGGGGGCAATCCAGCCTCGAAAAAGCTGTCTCTATCCACTTTTCTTGAACGAAATCCTAGGGTGTCCTCGGCGAAGGAAAAGGTCTTTGGTGTGTTGGAATCTTCCGACCACCTCTCAGATGTTCCTAGCGACGTCGATTCGCTCACTAGGGAACGATATCTTCTGGCATGCCAAATGCTCAAGATGACCATGATACAAAAGGAGGGTGCACTAGTTGATATCGAAAAAGAGTACATTATGAGCCTTTTGGACGAATTCGAAAATGAAAACGGAGAAGGCACTGTCGTCAACGAAGATCGTATGGCCGCTATCGAACGCGCTATCCTTCACCTTGAAAGCGACAACGTGCCATCGTCCCCTGCCACTGCAGTTAGGGCTCACAAAACCCGGACTACAGGCGGAGAGAAAACACAAAAAAGTAGCCATCATCCGAAATCGTTGAACAGTGACAAAAACCCGCACACTGCAACCCGCAAACCGAAGAACAAGCTTATGGAAACGTTTTCAAATCCTTGTTCACCGCTTGTAATGGCCAGAATGAGACAAAGGCAAAAATATTCCTCCTTTAAGGAGGAAGATGGAGTCATGAAGAATACCACTAATCTTAAAATGGTCGAGAATGATTCCGATGACGATGAAGATCGTTTGGTTAGATTTGATGGATGGTCGTTTCAGAACTCAAGAGAATGTCCATTTTTGATACTTGGCGCCGAAGGGAACAACACGAATCCAAGAGTGTTTACACCAGAGATGATGGAAGCATTGCGGGGATTTATGCCGATAGAGACCAGCGAACACAATTTCTGGCTTCGATTTAGTCTAGTTCGAGATGGAGGATCGCTGACGACTCTCCTGTCTACTATTCGCGCCTCGAAGTATACGATGATCGGCGTCGAAACCGATCACGGGGAGGTTTTTGGAAGCTTCACTGGATCGCCTTGGAGAATCGGGAGCAAATGGTACGGAACCAGCGAAGCTTTTCTCTGGAGATTGAAAAGAAGCCGATACACATCTACCAAAAACTCTAGAATGCCGGATTTTGAACGAGAAATAGAGATATATCCCTGTACCGAAGACGACGACCTTGTTCAATATTGTACGGAAAAGACGATTGCTGTCGGTGGAGGCGGTTGGCAGCTTAATTCGTGTCCATACAGCAACAGTGACCAAGGGATAGGCTTCATGGTGGATGGGGACTTGGTAGGTGGAGAAACAAGCAGTTGTGGGACGTTTGCCAATCCCCGTCTTGCAAGGTATACAACATCAAGCAGCGAATTTGCAATACAAAATCTTGAAGTCTGGACAATAACACCGTGTACCCACGTAGAAAATGCTGCTCACATGGAAATGCGCAACCTTGTTAAAGAATACGGGATCGTATAAGGTGCCTTGAATGATTTATTTGCTACCGAAGCTACCACCAATCTGCATTACTGTAGTTGCCGGTTGTTTCATTATAATAACAAAAGCTTGAAAGCATTTTGGTATCTGAATTGTTGCTGTACACTACGAGGGTACGGATTATGTTTCATGCCGTGTGATATAAAGTGATACATACCCCGTGGAGGTATGTTTTGAACATTCTTGTTAGCAGGTGTGCAGAGTCTTACAGTAATTTATAATTTATGATATGGTAAAGGAAAATACATTGGAACCCCTGTGCTTTTGTTTTCAACCAACATTACCTGTAATTGTACCAAACAATACACAGGAAATTTCACGGATACATGGTATTAAAAMCTATCATATTTGTAAATTTTGCCAGACACTGTGTGATTACTGAGGTCCAAGTACTGTAAATCTAATTTTGCTTGTTCTTGAATGTCTCTCTGTATTTAGCAATTACCACATATTACAATTGTTGTTACTGCTCTTGTTGTAATGTACCATGTTGTATTTACAACTAATGGCAAACCTAGATGGACAGCTGTATGGGCATTTTTCCCTCTTTCACTAGTGCTAAAATTGTCAATTTGAAAAGTCTGCACATCTACTACTATGAACAAAAAGGATCAAGTCTTACTATCATAGGAGACCTGATCAAGGCAATGAAAAGATTACTTGTAGTGCTAGTATTCAAGTTTGTCTTCCACAAAATTATCTCCCAATTCATACAGTGCAGCCTTGGGATGAATTTGTGCTGTGAGGTAAAATCAAGAGTTACAAATTTGCTCCTTGATGCTGCTAAGATTAGAAAGCGAGAGACAAAAGGGACTGACCTAGTGATGCAGTGCCACTTGTAACAAAAGAGAACTTTTGTCAATGTTTGAACTTTCCAAAATATGTTTGTGTGAAGCACTGGAAATCTACCAATTGCCTCTCTATGTTAAGTAACAAAACATTTTTATCTTCCTACTACCTATCCTGGCATGTGTGCATTGAAATATACTCACCAGTAATAGTAGAGCACATGTAGAGCACACATTACAAAGAAGTAACATACCGGACTGATTGAAAAGCAAAGGTTGCACTCACCACTGTACTGTTCTGCTGTGGTACTACTACCTTTACAGTAACAAACTGGTGGTGTCTACAAAGAATTGTTGAAAAAGCACTTGCTGGGACACCAGGAATGGTGACATTATTAAAAGAGTGTTGCAGCATTACTAATGCTTAAGTCACCAGCAGAGAGGCAATTAGTAGTTTTTGACAGTATATAGATGTTAAAATTGACTTGTGCTACACAGATTCCCATTGAAGTGAATTATTTTTTGAGGAAATTCTTGGTAGCTTTTCAGTAAATGAGAAACAAAGCAAATAGTAGATATCAGATTTCCAGTGTGAGGACCTTTGACCTATTTCCTTGTTTTAAAATCTCATTTCCTTGCATAGTTTCATATTAAGTCACCAATAGTCAACTCATTTCCTTGCATTTCATGATTTTGTAAACTCATCTTCTTGTATTCTCTAAGTAATCAAACTTCTGCTGTTAAACAACAGGAAAAACACCAGCATAAATTAGGAGTTGCTGTTAAGCAACAGCAAACTATAACAATATAGTATTGAAATAGAAGACAAGTGCTGCCAACCATGGTGCTCCTTACAATAATAGAAATAGTAGTAAAAGCATGAAAATAGGACAGAAATTACTATTAGTACTAGTGATTATACTGTATCCCCTCTGCATTAGGATCAAACCTAATGACAATCCTGTTTCTGTGTCTGTGTTGGCCTGTATCAATACTGATATTGTTGTTGTTGTTGTAACCCTACTAATTGTAGACTGGTGTAATCATATTCAGCATCCCCTCCATATCAGTGAGTGTGGTCCTCCTTGTTTGTATCAGCAAGTGTCCTCTTCCTTGTTGTCCTCTGTATCAGTGACTCATATCACATTGGTGTCCTACATTAAAAAACACACCTAGTAGAGATGAGGACAAGAATACTAGTACATCCTTTGTTACAACAAAAGAGGGCCTCAAACTTCCGCCGTAAGAGAAAAGTGTGAAGGAAGATTTCAAGAAATGGTCCGGTTGGAATATTTGGATGGAAAGGATTATGCAAAGAAAAATTGGTTAGTATATTTTGAGTAAAGAGTGCATGAGATTTCAGGAAAAAAGAAAGCAAATATGTTGGTACTAGAGTTTGAGTAACGAATGAATCAGGTTCAAGAAATGATCCAATAAAGAACGAGTGGACATTTCAAATGAAAATAAAGTAGCAGAGAGGTTTTTCTGTTGAGAGGGATTATTCAAATATCATATTTTGAATACTACTAGTAACAGAATGTCCAAAGGAATGTTGTTGAAATATCATGTGCCATACACGACAGCAGTCGGATGTTAAAAATGAGCTGGAATGGTTAAGAAGAAGGAAAATGAACCAGTTGATTTCCACCAGCAAAGTAAGTCATATTCAAAGCTGTCAGTAGATTTCTACAGTAGTAAATACTAAAATACTTCGTACTAAAAATAAGTAGGTTTCCAGTAATGGTTCCCACCATTGTTGGGTGATTCCTCCTCCTGTTATTCATAGAATGATAAATTAGCATTTTTCGCAATTTATAATAAGAACGGGAATCAAAATTTCAAGGGACAGACAGCAAGGAAGGCAGGCTTCATCTCAGTCTTTTTGAGAATCTGGAATGCCTAAAAAGAGGTCTGGGGTTCCATCATAGATTTAGCACATTTAGGATGGGGTCGGATTGTCATAGATTTTTGGTCTGTCTGTCTTTCAAATTTAGCATTTCTATTGACGGGAATCACCCATTATTGGTACGTACGAAGTACGTACCATACCAACTTTCGACAAAATGACAAATGATTTCTGATTTCATCCCCTAAGCTTAGCGGTACGGTATCTTACTGTGCGTACATACGTACGTACGTACGTACGTATGAGTTCCTCCAATGAACGAACTATCGTACGGTACGTACGGTACCTAATGCAACTCTCCGAATACCCGTGCCGGTACGTACGTAATGGTACGTACTAGTATCCGAGTGTTGTTTTTCCTTTTTTTGAAACTGTGCTCACAGCTCACAATGATGGGAAGGGTAGATTTGTTGTTCTATCTGACGCAACCTCGTAAGATACAAATTCAACAGGAAAGATCGATACTCCGGTGTATTTAGTTCAAAAGAAAGCCGGCGTATCGGAAAGAACGAAAGAAAGCACCGATGTTGAGGTTGGGAACGAAGCCATCATTCAATACGGGAACGGGAAGAATGAGACGGACGATGATATTTCTCACTGCCATACTCGTTATGGTCTCAGCGACAGCTGGCTCCAATGGCGGATACACAACAACGATCCAACGGCCAATGTCCATGATGTCTCCGTTTGGTCGAAGACGATATGGTTATCGGCGTCGTCGCTATCGTCGTAACAGTTACGGAGGGCCCTCTCATCCATCCTCCTCAGAGACGCGCGATTACAGCAAACATTTTCTAGACGACAAAAATTGGATGACGAATAAGAAAATTCGAGTGTGGGATCCCCGATATGCGACGAAGAAGCGTCCTAATCAGAGGTCATGGAGTGGACGCCTCGCCATCGCAAACATTGCCTGTTATGCGATACAAACCTTCAATCCAAACTTTACAAAATGGGGTGTCAAGCTGAGTGAACGAATACTGGCCGGGGAAGACCTCTACAGATTGATCACCCCTGTATTTCTTCATGGTGGACTTTACCAGTACGTCATTGATATCGCAGACTTACATGCATTGCCCCCTTTATTTGCCAACTAACAGCTATCACTGAGCTGTTTCTTACATCTATCTATTGTGACTGCAAACACTCGTTTCCAAATTCGTCCAGCTTGATGTCAAACATGTTTTCACTTAACAATGTAGGTCCAATGACGGAACAAGCATATGGGTCAGGAAGATTTTTGGCAAGTTATCTTGTGGCTGGTGCATCAGGCAATCTCTTGTCAGCAATAAAAAGGTACGAATCTGTCCGTTTTCGTGCGTGTGGACGCTATTTTTGCTCCCATGTTGTTTCACCAAATCCCATGCCATGCTTATTGTAATGTATTTATGTATACCTTGCTTCCTAAACTTCCACGCAAAGTCCAAATCCCGCGCTCGGAGCATCGGGTGCCGTATTTGGAGTAATGGCCAGTTTATTGGTCTTTTTGGGCAGGAACGACTGGGTGATGGGATCACAAGGCGAAGCCTATCGAAGTGCCGTCACTCAGACCCTGCTGATCAATTTGGTAATGGGTGCAGTCAACCCTATGGTGTAAGTAATATCTCATACTTTACTATGGGAACACCTTTTCATGTGTTTCTCAGATTTGTGGTTCGTTTATATGCACGCGTCTGGGGTTGTTGTTCATGCATGTGCACGCGTCCGAGGTCCGCAATGCTGCAGCTCACAGCTTCCGATTCTCTGATTCAAACAAATGCGTAATTTGGTTTGTGTAATTAATATTGCTATATCTGGATAAAACTAGTGACAATTGGGGACACATTGGTGGTGCCATCGGAGGGGCGACCATGGCGTGGTATTTTGGCCCTCGATTGTACATTGCGGAGGTACCACTTCCTGAGGGTGTTGGGCGCGTTATCGTAGACAAGCCACTTGTACGATTACCTTATTTCATAGAGTCTATACCTACCAAAGTCAGTAAGGGAGTGAGAAGACTGACTAGAAGAATAAAAATATGGGGGCACATCGCCGATCTTCCTGACAAACCCTGGAGGAAGAACAGACAGCACCAACACCACAAGATTGATTATAAAAGGAGACAGCAGATCGCCCCGAATAGATCAATTAAGCCAATGCTGCCATCCGACGAATGACAGAGTAGAAGACGTCCGTTCATTTCTTGTAGACTATTTACTTTCTTTACATTGACTCAAGCTACACGCAGCGAACGATCTACTTTGAAACTGCTTTTTGCAAATGTGGAACTCCCTCATCGCATTGCTGGGTGATTTTGGATTACACCGACACAGAACAGTACTCGACTCAAAATACCACTAAAAAGACAATAATAACACATTTCGTACCACCCGATTTTCGTCAAAGTCTGCCCTGTATCCGTCGATTATAACCGTGACACAATCAGTTGCTTCAGCGCCGGCACTTGGTGCTGGTGCTTTTTGTACTCCTAGTTGCCCAAACAACACACGAGTGTGAATACAATATTTCTCATCATATATTTTCACCATCGTTATCATACTGAGTACCCATACGGAAAAAGTCATATTCATTGCTACAGCTCTCTAACCCCGTACATAATGAACATATCTTTTTTCTTTTTCTTTTTGGTCTCTGTCTTGTCTTCCAACTAATTGTCGCTCCATGAATTTCTTCATATGCTCTTCATTTCGCTTTGACATGGCCATTGGTTTTGGAGTAGTCTTTTTTATTACAGTTTCCCTATTCTTTGCGTCGACCCTATGGTTCAGACGATCAGTAAAAGGACGTCGCATCACTTCTTTTCGTCGTGAAAGCCTTTTGTCTTGTTTTGAATCTTTAATTTTCTCCAATTGTACCTCACCTTTACGGATAAAATCTTTCGAGTGAATTTTCCACAAAGGAACTCCATTATGTTTCTCATCCGTCGATGTTTTGGACTTATCTTTGGAAGATAGATTATTGTTTGCCGCAAAAGAATCAACTTTTACTTGTTTTCCTTTCTCCTGCGCTACGGGAAGTCTTGACGTAAATTTTGCGTGGTATGGTTTGTTTGATTGGCGACACCTCTTTCCTGGGTTTATTTTCTTCATACTTACTATTTTTTTGGGTCGCTTTTCTTGAATAATGCCACCTTTTTTCATAACTACCAATTGTTTTTGGAAAGGATCGCTCGTGAGAGGTTCTTTTTCGTCACACACTGTGCTATAGCCACCACTTTCGTAGTTGTCCATTGTAGTGTCCTTTGCTTCTACCTTTGAGAGGGCAGTGAAATATGGATTGGTTGCTCCTATAGGTCCGATACCGTTGAAGTCAAGAATTGGAGTAATTTTGGCTGTCTTCCTTTCTATTCTATCCATAGAATCTTTCAGTCTTTTATTGTTGGAGGTTATGTTGAAAATGGCAGTTTCCCTACCTAAATCCATCTGTTTTCCGTCCGTGGTATGCCTCTCAGTTCCTCCGTTAGTTACAATCTCTTTCTCGTCACCAACTTCATCGTTGTCGCATTCGATTGCAAGAATGGTCATTCCATCTAGATATCTTTCATTCATATTAATTTCTCTCTCATTGCGATGTTCATTGCCGTAATGTTCAGTAAAATCTATGGTGCTATCTACAGAATGATCGTCTTCTCCTTTCGTCACACTTGCGTTCTCCACGTGGTCGAGTTCGAGAGCGGACACCGCACTTTTCGCTATCTCCTTCGTTTTCTTTTCCGAGTCATTCTGGTCATTTGTTTCGTCGACGACAGCAATGCTGCTATTATCTTCAACGCTGGCCTCTTTATCGATTCCATCTTCTTGATCGATGTCAATTGTTCCGCTTTCTTCGTTCAGGACTTTCATCTGAACGTGATTTTCATTATTTCTTTGTCCTTGAGCACGACCATTTTCGGTTGTTTCAACTTTATTTCCGCCTACATCTCCTTCCTGTTTCCATTCATTCGAATCACCTATTTCAGTCAGACATTCGTCAGTATCATGTCGAAAAGGAGAAATGGCGTCACGAAGTTTTTCCCGAAGGATTTGGCTTTTTTGATTCGCTTTGATGCCAAATTTCTTCGATAATCTCTGCAACTCCTTGCGTCCGATTGCATCAATGTTAACTTCGAGATCAACAATTGTATCTATCATCTCGGAAAAATTGTCGTTAAAACTCTCTACTTACTGTCAATTGTCTCTTCATGGAGCCTTGTTGAAATGTTTCTGCCCAGTTCCTCAGAGTTGAAAGAAAATTTAATATTCGAAGAATTTGTAGTACAGTACGAACAGTACAGTACCAGGTTAGGTAGTACTCCGAGCTAGCGGGGAACATCACAGTCCTTCGTCACACAGCACTACCGATAGATACGGTCGTATTCCGTATTCTCGTATCTGGTCTGTACGCACGCTAGTTCACACCGTACAGTAAGAACTAGTACTAACTGTCAAAAAAAATAATTTAAAAAAATAACGGCTACTTTGTGAGTACGATACGTACAGTACGGAACTACTACAGCTTAGAGCTACTAAGCACGGTACCGGTACAAGGTAGATACCGGCCGGCAAGGCCAGGGCCAGGGGACCCCTGCCCTGCCAGGCAAGGGTCATGTTCGGGCCCCATAACAATTTTGTGGCATTTTCCCGGCTGTCAATTTTCTTGTGTTGGGTACCAGTACGGTTTGGTAATGTTAAAAGCCGAAGAGTTCTGAATTCTTTATCAACCATTTAATGGGCCCTCCGGAACCAACGCGCGCGCGTCCCCCCTTTGAAATCTCATATTGGGGGTACGATTTCGTGTTTTTTTTTCAAATAAAATAACCCACGTTTCTAAAACGTGTGTTATTTTTCACAAAAAGTTTTAAAAAGTGGGTTCCTGGGTTAACCCACAAATAACCCACCTTTTATTCATGGGTTAACCCACTGTAGAACCTTAATGAAAAAAAGGGGTTCGGAACTCTTGAAAGAAGTTTTTATTTCTTTATCAACCATTCTAACATTAAACACAGATTCTCAGAACCATAAATAAAACAGATTCTTCGGAAGCCAAATAGATCCTGATCTTGGTTGTTGACTGTCTTCCTTAAAAACTAACGGAGGGCCCAGTAATCAACAGATTCTCAGAACCATAAATAAAACAAGCCAGAACAGATTCAGACAATGATATTTCGGATCTATCGGTGGGACAGTAGCTACATTTAACACCCTCACCTTGGATTTCTCACTCGCTGGTGGATCACTTAACGTTCTCAGCTTGGTTGCTGGAAGAGCTGAGAGTTCTCGAAGACAAGTATGTTTTTCGTTTAATTGTTCCGATCGTTTGTGCGATAGTAGTAGTTGTACTCAATTATGTTACCAATAAGCAAAACAACTGAAGCTTCCTACATGCTCCCAGTACTTTGCTACATACTTAAGGATGGAACAATTAAATTAACGAACTGAACCAGTTTCTGACCGGCGATCACTTGTTATGATATTCGTAGTAGTATGTTCCTCGTTTAATTGTTCCAATTGTTTGTGCAAAAGTACCGGTAGTAGTTGCACTGTATTATATTACGAAGTATGTTACGGAGTTCTTTTAAGTATTTATGTAGACAAAGCTTCCGCAAATTCAAATGATAATTCAAATGATTAGCCAAAAAGTTCTGAAGTTATCGGTTGAAAATACGACATTACAGTACGGTATTGGTATGAGACCATGCACTTTTTTCTTTTTTTGCTTCCTTCGATCTTCCAGAAAATGAAATCTTGCATTTTCATAATTTTAGTAGGAGCATCATAGCTCAAAAATCCACACCCGATAGTTGCGATCATGAAAATCAGATGCCTTCTTCCTTTTCTTGCTGTTGTTGGTGAGATCTTGGTGGTGACAGCAGTGCTATCCGATTACGCCATCGGTGACTCAAACATCAATGTTGAATCATTGGATGATCGGATTCATTTCCAAGACAAAGTAAGCCCGAACATTTCGTTTGCGGTGTCTGAGAGTGGTTTTCCAGCATCAGTTGATTCGGATTGGTTTTCTGTTTTCTCCAATTTTGCCACACTCAGTATCAGAAGAACAATCGAGATTGACGTATGATTACTGTATTCGTTCTCCTCATTGCTTGGTATGCTGCGACATACTTTTCCACAGGTCTCTCGATACTTGAAGCCAGAAAAAAAGAAAAAGAGTAAGGCCGCAAAAAGTAAGAAAGTGAAGAAGAACAAATCCTCAAAAAGCTCCCCCGCGTACGAGGTTTGGGCTTCGGATCAATCTAACTCTGTTCCTGGCGAGGAACGTTTGGGCGTGAAAGGCTCGTTTCTTTGGGTCTTTGATACTGATGGGATACAAGGACAGCTCTCTGGAAAGGAGAAAGCTACCCCGCTCCCTTGTACGCCCACCAAGACAAAGGGTCCGTGTGATGCATTTGAAATCTTTCCTCCAGAGCTCAATCAAGTTGACGCTGGTGGAGCCCCCACAGGGAAACAACTGAAAGATATATCTGGTTTTGGTCGGCTTCATGGTGTGCTCGTCGATCCACAGAACAAATACGTCAGTGCGAACTTCTTCACTCCAGGGGGCGGATTTATCGGAATCATCGACGTTGAGACAAAAGAAGCTATCTCCTTGTTCCGYGTTACAGGATTCAGCACTAAAGCTGAAAGATCAGTTCACATGACCCTTTGGTCAACTGATGGATCCGCACTCTTATCTGCAAATCTGCATGGCAAGGCAATTGAGCGAATCAATATCGGGAGGGATTCTGACGGTAAAATTACCTCTGCCGAGTTTGATAAGAGTGCATCCATTGGATTAGGCATTGGGAATACAATTATTGAAGAAGCCTCTGTCTTCGAAGGCGTAAACGCGTACGGACGCCAATTGTTGGGTTCTGTTGTTGGGCAATATTCCGACGCTGGGATGGGAGACCTTACCCCTAACGGATATTGCAAACAAGACGGATGCACAAGCAGTGCCCTCCCTCCCACAGGACGGACCAACAATGTCCCTATCTGTCCAATCCCTTCTACAGAGAATAACTTGTACACAAGCCTTGGTGGTGGAGGATTGCTTGTCATGGATCTCAAGACTACGCCGATTTCTATTGTTGGAGAATACGGTGGCAAGATTTTCAATGGTGCTGGCTGTGGTGGAACCCAAGTTGATCAACAGATGTTTCTAAACGCAGGCATTTCTGCTGCCGCATCTGGTTCTGATCAGTCAACATTCACAGTGTACTCAATGGATGACACGGCATACTCTCATGGCCAGAACGTCGCTGACGATCCACCCCCAACGATCGTCTACAAGGACAACACAAACACAAATACGATAGGCAATGTTGATGGCGTTGATACCCCAAACAATACTGGACAGATCCCAGGTGTTACCACCCGTCGTGATTCCCATGGTATTGTCAGTACATTGAACAAGAAGTTCGTGCACCAGTTCGATAGGATTCAAAATGTGGTCGAAGTATTTGATACGAAGACTTACGAACGCTTCAGCTATGATCTAACATCCAAAAATGGACAATTKGGTAGACCTAATGCTCCCGAAGAAGCTGGCCCGTGTCTGGCTAACTCCGTAACTGATGATGTCAACTTGGTTTTGAATGATCCATCACCAGACGTCTTGGAGAGATCTCCAGATGGAAAGTTCATCTTTGTTGGTTTTCGTGGTCCCGCACCGGTTTCTGTTGGCCACTCTGCTCAAGGAAGCTGTCCTGGTGTGGGAGTCGTCGAAATCACTGAAGGTGGGAAGAGAGGAAAGCTCGTCGATGTCATCCGTACTACAAATGAAATTGATAATGCACCGCTTCCACCAATTGTGGGTGGGATCCAATACTCAGGTACCGAAAGAAGCGATATCCATAGTGCAATCGTCGTAACCAGATCTAAATAATCTTAATTTTTCCTTTTCGAGTACGTACAGATGTGCGTACGTACTCGTACCGAGGATGGAATACAGTATGAGTTTTCACATCATGATGCATAAGTTTTTGATGCGTTGCGCATGTTGACGGACATACGGCGCGACCATTAACGATGACATCATATTTGTTTATTTGTCCATCAAAGACATATTTGTGGACTATTTGTCAGAAGAGGATATGAATGAGAACCRGATTTGTGGAATACAAAGGCATTCCCAAACCCAAGTATTCTGAGTTACTCTCATTCTTTACTAATTTATCTAGTCAA